TTTTAGTGGGCTGAATGCTACCTGTTGCCTCTTTTTACTCCGGGGTCTCAGGTTTTATCACTCGATAACTAATAGCTCTTCGTTTTGTTTAGAGTCTAAGTGCTGTCGAGAACAATCCACATTTTTCATTTGGGGTGCGCAATAGACTTACCTCCACGTGGTGCACCCTGGGCGTGTGCGGTAGACTTACCTCCACGTGGTGCACCCTGGGCACCGTATACTCATACGGCAAAAAAGTCTATTAACCGGCAGTTGTTGCGATAGACTTACCTCCACGCGGTGCACCCTGGGCAACCCACTCATACGGCAAAAAAGTCTATTAACCGGCAGTTGACTTATCACTTCTTATGCGGCAAAAAAGTCTATTGATCGGCAGTTGACTTCCAACTACTATGGCCCGACTATTTGTCATATTCGACCCCTTCACAGTACTCATCTTACTTCTATGGCCCGACTATTTGTCATATTCGACCCCTTTCGCAGTACTCATCTTTCCTTTTTTATGCCTTCGTGTCTGTCTGTCTCTTTTACCTCTGTGAATCATTATTCTGTTCCCCCTCTCGACTTTTTGTCACTTTGATGTTCCTTCTCCTCTCTGTGAAGCCTCGAAGTCAGCTCCAGGGCTAATGATAACTATCAAAACGTCTAGCTTTTGATATAAATAAATAAATATATTTTCATTTCCAATTATGCGTTAGAGTTCATATTCTAGCCTTAATTTAAATGCAATTTTGAGGAATAATTCACATCAAACTCGCTGGCTTTTTACAAAATGGTTATGAGGTAATTTGGTCTGTGATTGTAGATCTAGTGAATAAGAGGATATCTAATTAAAAAGCATATTTAGATGTAATTCTTCGGAGACAAATTTTGTTCGCTTAGAATTCCATAATAATGTGCGTAAACTTTCATTTGAACTCGAATGAATTTTGTTGGGAAGAAACTATGAGCATATAAGTGAGTGCAATCTTTTGCTCTTAAAACCGTCACCGACTTACTCAGGTAGCCTAGACGAGCTCTTTTTGAACCCTCTTAAAGGAAGGAATTAACGCAAGGAATTAAGTTTTTAGGATCAAGATGTCTTACTCAAAATTTGAACGAGACAGAAATCATGGCAATTGACACTTTTGCCGTCCAACAACAATATTGTGATGATGACTATGAGCACCTGTCAAAGTCTTGCGATCTCCCATTGGATTGAAAACTGGGAGCGCAGAAGTTATTATTTTCTAAGTTAATACTAATCTCTCAGCATAGCCACCGCTTTAAAGTGCAAAATAAGTCAAATTGTTTCTCGTCTAAAAAGCAAAATGTAGTTTAAGCATTGTTGGTGGTCGGTTTAAATTTACCAGTCCAACCAACTTTACGAAAGAATGAGAAATTTGCATAAAATCAACAAATAGGCCAGCAATACTCAAGCTTCTGAGTGGAAAGGCCAAACAGCTATTTTGATGGACGCCGATTCTTACTCATAAGTCAGTATCAACCATTTTTGGATTCGTGATCGGCTAAATTAAACAAATGAGTGATTTTAAAGCGAGAAGACTGGATTTGATTTAGAAACATATATTACTCTGAGCTGATTAAGGATTTTATTTCTAATAAATGCAACTGTTTAACTGTTTTTCACTGATTACCTCTTGCTAAAGATTTAACATTGATTTTTTTAATGCTATTGGCAGTGGTATTAAAACCTTCCGTGTATGTAAATCTTATTTGGCAGTTAATCATTAAGAAAAATGAGATACTAATTTTCTCGGATTTCTGCGGATGAATTTCTCGTGATGTGAACCTTAATCTTGGACTTAAGCCTTACTTTCATTCTACTCGGCACCTTATATTTAGTTCACTGTAGATTGAGTTGCTGATCTTTGTGCTCAGAAGTTTTCCTGATGAAAGATAACTATTTATTTACGTTACACGGCTGTGAATATTAAACTATAATAACCATGAGATTATATAAGGAAGGTTTAGCTTTATTTCACTTCCTCTTTCTCCTATTGAAAGTATCTTCATATTTAAATGGTATTATTAGCCGATAAAAATGTCAATAAAGGCTTGAATTCAACATGTAGTTAATTGTCCTCATTAAAAATTACCACCAAATTGATGATAAGGTTACTTAAAAGCATACTTTATGGTTTTTGTCGAAGAATTTCTGTTCAGCGTGAATATTGAATATTCCATTCAAGAATAAATGGAATACGTGGCAGACCAATTGAACCGAATCCCTTTTAAAGGAAGTTAATATAACAGAGAATGTGAATTGGTCTTTTATGCGCTTTATATTTGGCATTCTCGTGGCTGCAATGAGATGAACGAAAAAACAGGTCTAAACGCAACTTAATCAGCTCATCTATGATCTCGATAAACATACCTCCACGTGGTGCACGTTTACTCACATGCAAACTACCATGACCTCATTGTATGTCATATTCGACCACTTCCACAGTACTTACCTCACCTTTCCTTTTCTATACCTTTGTGCCTGCCTCTTTTACATCTGTTTTCCCCCTCCACCCTCCCCCCCTTCTCGACTTTTTGTGACTTTGATGTTCTTCCCCTCTGTGAAGCCCGACGTCACCTATGGGACTAATGATAACTATCATAAAGCCTGCCATCTGATCTAACTAAATAATTGATCTCGATTCTATCTCAGTTTAGCTCAATTTCTTTATTGATAATTTATTTTATATATGAAGAAGAGGGTTTAATCTTTGAATGACCAATATCTCCCATATTCGCATTTTAGAGCTTTTGTGCTTGCATAATTTATTAAAAAACCTACCTGTTTCCCAGTATTCCCTTTTATGTCTCCATTGCCGTTCTGCTCATCGCAATCAATACTCATTGCTCCCATCGATGTCCCATTTAAAAATAACCCCCACAACGTCGCACATATTACCAATCTCAATACTTTTTTAAGCCATTTATCAATTTCCGATTTGTGCAATACCTGTGTTTCTACCTTTACTAAATCATTTCCATCTACCGGTTACATAGCTCTCATCACCCTCTTGTCTCCTCTTAATGCAAGTATACTGTTGACATCATTCCGATCTATTCTCTTGCAAAGTTGGAGTGAGAAAAGCATTTAATGCTTGAAGTTCTTTTCGGTATGTCCGTTTCAAGTTTTCAGATTCTCCCGAAACACATTTCGCTTTCAAATCTTAAAAATTAACGTTACGCAGTTCATCCAACTCACATAGAGTAAGGCAAAAAAAAATAAAAAAACGAGTATCAGGTGCATTTCGTCCAATTGGAATCTACACTCGTGACATGTTAGTTGGCAATTGGCTTTCAGGTGATAAGATTTGATTCAGTGGCATTTTTCAAATGGCAATAATTCGTACACCCAAAACCGGAAAGTTTAGAAAAATATTTAAATGGCCATAAAGAGTGATAAGTGGCTGGTCGTGAGCATAAATGAACTAAAATCTGGCGTGATTGTAAAGCAGCTCATATGAACCTCCTTCCAACCCCCCCCCCCCCCCCCCCCCCCCCCCCCCACCACTCAACACAAAAGATCTTAAGACCCACTTAACAGTTCATCACTGCTAAGATTCTCCTATGATTTGATCTCTTAAAAAGAAATCAAAACAAGAAAATAATTAATTATGATATTTAATTTCATACAGAAGGGGGAAATAAAACAATATTTATTGCATTAACTATTGTTTAACTACTTTAAAAATCCGTACGGCACATCATCTTACCCTCGAATTTAAAATTATCGCAAAAAGGATATTTATATTTTCTTGCTTGTATAATGCTTTGAAAAAATATTTATTTAATTTTACGCAAATTATCATTTTAGGTAATCATGACATATATTCTTGAATTTATTTGTATATTCTAACATTTAGTCCGATTAAATTATTGGAAAAGCAATTTTAAATTACTGAATCCGTTAATAATTTAAAAAGGTGATGTTCAAATTTAGTGTAGTAAAATGCCTTTATTTAAGTTTATTTACAGGCACAATTATCAGAATGGAATTCATTTACTATTATTTCATTTCCTACATTAAAAATATCTTTGGAGAAATTAAATATATAAAATGCCATTAATTTGCCATTACATCATATTTCGGCCAAGAAAAGAGATAAGTGAAACTACATACTCTCTAAAGTTTTGGTACTCAGAAATTTTGATCAAGAAATAGTTAAAATTTTATTTATTTTATGTTTATTTTCAAACAAACTACTCACTAAACTAAACTGTAATCTAAAAACACTCCAATTTAAAAATTGGCTTTAAATTATTGTAAAGGTTATATATTTCCTTATATCCACAAATTAAATAATTAAAAATGGATTCTTAAAAAAATTTTAAGATTCATGTAGATGTTGTGATAAAGCTTGAACTCGAATTTCATTAATACTCCATTAATAACACTTTAAACAAAAAATAAGGCACTAAGACATTTAACTTATATAAAGTGAATGCTCTGATAACCCCTAGAATTTTAATTAATAATCTTAAATCAACTTTGAAAAAAATCAGAAAAAAAACAATATCAGGAATGTGAGCGATAAAATGGATCTAAAATATAAACCAAATATTTTAAAAACACCGCCTGCTTTTTCCCAGTTAAAATTAATTTGAACAAAAAAGGAAAGAATGAAGCGTGGAGTTCATAGCTCAGTGTGCGTATTTTCAGTAGCCATATCAGTAGTATGAAATTCATTCACTGCAGCAAAAGGGAAGAGCGAGTCTGATATCAGTATGGGAAGAAGGAAAGGGAGCCTAGCAAATCAAACTAAATTAGTAATATCGATGAGAATGTCAATTAAAACAATAAAATTTGAGGTTAATGCAGTAAATCTCGAGTTGTTAAGGGTTGTCTGGAGGAGGTGCTTAGGAGCATTGGGAGGCTTGGCAGAGGGGTATGCAATTGATGAATCGATTTATCGATTGTTTACTGGTGGTATGATAAGTAAGAAGAAATGCTGGTGTTTACATATGTTCACAAAAGAAGAGAAGGTAGAGCTTTAATTTTACGCACAAGAACATGTGCATTTGTCACTAATTAGATACTTTTGAACTTGCCATGAACAACGGTAGCCACTAGCCGTGACACTCAACTTCTCGATTAACCTCTTGGCTTTCCGAGCTCTACCTTCTTCTTGTTGAGCTGGATCCAAGGGCAAAGAAGCATCCCGGCGTCCCTTTTTACGACCTAAACGATAATATCTCCACATTGGTGAAGGAGCCTGCTGAGAGTACATCTGTCTAGCCTGTCGTCCATTCTGATTATCCTGGAATTGGTACCGTAGGTTCATTGGAGATGGTTCGGGAGATCTCACTTTTCTTGTTAATGCTTGGTCAGAATTTGAGGAGGTTTCTGCTTGAGCAGCATCTTCACAATTCCAGTTTAGAAGGCGGAGAACTCTCGATCCCGAAGGTTGACATTTCATTCCTGGAGGCCAAGAGCATGAAGACCCTAGACGTGCTAGACAAACACCCATTCTGATCCACCTAGGCCAGTAGAGAGAACCTAGATCCTTCCAGATGAAATCCATTTCACACGTGGCTGTTTCAATCAACCAATTTCGGAAAATTTTAATTTGATGATCAGTCAATAAGTACTGGGCTCCGGTTTCGTCCCTAAAGGTCATGTTAAGAGCTTGGGCCTTTCGAATCAAATTGGTATCTACGGGATTAGCCCCAGGAGGATGCGTTGCGCCATCGGACATCATTCCAGAAACTCCTCTCTGTCTAAGAACTCTTGGTGGTTCCTCGGAGGTCCAATATTTATCGTCCTTTCCACCCAATAAACGCCACAACTTGCTAATCTTCCTGGGAGAAACATCGGGGTGCAGTTGGCTGACAATATTAGGATTGATCGGCTGTCCCATAACTCTCATTGATCTAGCTTGAGTTGAATCAATTTCAAAGGCAGAACCTTGGGAGGGGTTGGAGGTTTCCTTTTTAGTCAAATGGCCTAGAGAAATGTGATTTTTATTGGATAGTGATAATCCCATTCCCCCTGAACCGATGGATTCACTAGATTTTGACATGACAGTGGAAGAAGATGCGGGAGAAATATTTCCAGGATTTGATCTTCTCTGGTAGAAAAGAGCAGCTGAGCTTTTTGGCTGCTCATTGGATAGATTAAAGGCCACAGATGAGACAGATAAGGAAATTAGTAGAAGTAATGGTAAGAGACAATGAAACGCTGTTGTAAAATGATGTATGGACATATTGACAATTCCGGGTTGGTAGACCTTTCGACTACTGGAGCATAATTCTGATGCGTTGCTTATTAGCATGAAAACCTAGAGTGGCTTTCAGATAATTCTCATTGGCTGCTGGCGCCGATGTGTCTCGCGTGCCTCTTGACCAATCAGAGTGTGGGCTCTTAACCGCGAAAATTGTGTGATTTATGAGATGAGTTTTCCATTAACGGTTATTTTTATCAACTTAACATAGTGAAGGTTTCCAATGTTTTATAAAAAATTTTCTTCGTATTAGTTTAGTTCCTAAATGGAAATTTATTCACTTGAACTGGTTTGCTAATCCAACGTGTGTGTTCAAAAGCTAGTAGTCTGCCCGACAGAATTAAATTAATTCAGTTTTTGATTTAATTTGTCTAAAAATTTCTCCAAATTCACTACTAAACATTCCGTCTTACGAAATTAATTAATAGAGAAAGTGCTATTTCTCCCATCTCTTTTGGTGCCAAAACGATTAGATGCAGGTTTGCCACATTTTGGTTAGTCATTTAATAAGGGCAATTTATCTTATTCTAGAACTTCTTCACATCCAATATTGCGCCACTCCTTACCTCTGGCGTTGTGGTAACTAGATCATTTATTAATTTAACCATCTCTCCAGATAAAGGGAGCATGGAATAGTACCATCTCTAAAGTAAAGCCCTCCCCTCCTCCTCCTCGCACCAACCCCCCCGCCCACAAATAACCATGTCTAGTGATGTTATTTTTATTTTCGACATAATATTTGATAAAGATCTTAATATTCGACATAAGTTGATCACAATCCCGTCAAAAGGAAACGCCTTCCAATTGCTCGAAGAAGGTAGTTTGAAACTTGTTTCATAAGAAGTTTGGTCGATGAATATTGATTTTGTAACCTCTGAACTTGCACCCCATGGTTCATTCAATTTTTTAAAAGTTTATTGCTTTAAGATTTACCTGTTCTCCAAATCAGACTAAGACTAATTATGAAATGTCTGTTATTAGGCAAACCTTCCGAAGTCAGCTTCAAGAAGGTATGCCTCTAATCCTTTCGATTTTAAGAGTATTTCCCAATTTTCCCCAAGCATATCTTCGAGCCTTTGTTTCATCCAAAAAATCCTAGTCTGGCGTCTATCAACTCCTTAGTAGTAATTCAGAGTTGGTTGAAAACTGCATTGTTTCCTTAACTGCTTTTAATATGGAACCTATGAATACTATATGCCATCTGTATTTTAAATTCGGACTACAATTAAGTATTTGCTTGCAGCTTCTTAAATCCAAAAAGGATTTGATAATAGAACCAGTGGCTCTGAGTTTGTTTGACTCCTCTAGACGGTCTTTGTATCAACCAGAGCACACAATACCTTATAGATATATCATCATCTTGACACTGAAACAATTGATTGACAAACGTGATAGTTTTGATTAACTTAAACTTTCAGAAATCATTAATGAGTGAATATTGATTCATATCGTTATCATTTCACTCGCATTACTCTCAGTCAAGGTAACAATCGAGCTAACGATTTAATAACTGTTATAAGCCTATTTTTTCCGCGAATACTCCGAGAAGAGCATCAGCTTGCACAGTTTGAACTGCTCCTAAACAGTCCCTCTGATTAAGTGCCTAGCAGTCTAGGCCTCTTTCTCCTCCTATTAGCTTACTCCAATGATAAATCGGTCTGCTTTTTAACTTATTAGCGCCGATCTGACTGAATGCGCGCCTAACACTAATTAAGTCGTTAAGACAACTGATAATTTTATGGCGGAAATCAAAAATATTAATGGCTGGGTTAAAACGCACTAAAGTTAGCTCTCCTGGTAAAATGGATAAATGGAGAAGAATAAGGGGGGAGAAAGACTTTTTATTGTAATTTTAACCTTGAAATTTTTGTTGTAATTTTGTAATTCGGTTAGAGTTTTTAATTGTATTAGTAATTTCCAAGCTAGTTAGCTGAATTCTTTCTGTGTCAACTATAGTCAACTCTGACACATTAAAAAAATTAAAATTCTTGAAAAATCGTCCGACTTTCTCGATTTCTGGGAATAAAAAAGTGAATTCAAGTGGTGGATTAGATCATCCTAATGAAACAATCGGTCAGCAAATACAGTGGATAGTTGACGAAATTTGTCATCAACCCAAAGGACGAACCCTAGCAATCAAAACATGAACAGCCTATTTAGTGAATATTGTGTTAAAACTTTCAAAAATCAAATGAAGTATGGTTCTTTTGTTCTGACTTCATTGTCAGCTAATTCTGATCGCTAGCCTTTATCTGCTTTTCTGTTACTCAATTGTGTGAAAAATAGTAAAGTATTGACTTAGTGCGGCTTATATTAAAAGTAGTAATTGTTATTTTTGATGTTGTTAAGTGTCGCCCTTTATCCTTTTCCAATTGAATTGCAAATAATTGAAGCAGATGGTTCAAACGAGTTAAAGGGTTTACGCCAATAGTACTTCTCTTTGCGTTAATTTTGGGTTAATGCAAACTATCACCATAGATAAAAGGAAAAATAGAGAGAAAATTAAATGTATTAATTAGAGCCCAAGGCTTATGAGGGGCAGATAAGCAATATCGATAAATGGCAATCTGTCTCTGTTATCGGACACACAAATATTGCGATAGGTAGTTGATCCAGAAATCAGCCATCAGCACCTCCAACACCACAGAAATTCACCACCAACCCCTCTATACTGAGTGTGTTATGTGTAGATTTTGGTAAATTGCTCCAAAACTGCTTTTAAAGCCCTCATGGAACTGTTTATCTAACTTGGAGAATGTTTCGAGTTGATTGAAGCGGTTCAATTTAAGTTATTTTAAACCACACAGCCTGTCTTTATAGTAGCTTACAGAATGCACAAGAATCATATCTCTTTTTGTGTCACTTAAAGTGGAAGTGGCGTCAACGACAAATTGTTTTCCTTTGTTCATTTTTTAATATATATAATTTCCATTAGAACGAGTGATCGGGAAAAATGCTAACACATGCAAGGACTCGCTCTTGAAGATGAAACTCATAGATATTTTCTCCCAATTTGCTCAATAAGCTAATATGAAGCCAAATGCTCTTAATAATTTCAAATAAGGGAGTTCACTAAGATAAAATGACCCCAATCACAGTTGGGCTGTTATAGAAACCTTATTTTCATGACCAAAAAATCAAAATTTGTATCTTATCTCCCTCGTAAATATTTTATGGAAAGCTGTCTCTCGAGTCTGACACATCCTTTTGCTTAAATAACCCAATTTGAGTTCTTCACCAATTTTTCCCATTAATAAAATGGGAAGTTCTTTCTGCATTGGTTTTTGGGTTTCCTTGTAATAGCCGGGCCAATCACCCAGATTCTACGTTTTATTTAAAAGCCTTCGCAAATACTTCAATATTTCAACAGCCCACCACTGTCAATAGTTATTTTTTAAATTTTAACTCTCCCGGTGATGCAGTTAAACGCCACACCAACTCGAGTGAGCTTTATGCTTTTGTTCAATCATTCATCTGCCAACGAATATCAGAATATATAACAATGCCAAGAAACGAGTAGGCAGTCATCCCTCTCACCTATTGCGAAATATTTATTTATATCAAATGGCAAGTGTCTTTATGGTTATCATTAGCCCTTTAGTCGACTTCAGGCTTCACA